AACGTGTTTCGGCACGCGCCTGGAGTGGAGAACCTCTTGAAGCCCCGCCGGCGGCTGCGCTAGTACGACCACCGGGCCACGGAATCAATATGATCGGGCCATCCTTGTTTTCCTTACTGCCGAAGGCCTCGCGCTCAATTTCTGGATGACCTCTGCCATTGGCAAGAGGCCCTCCACAGCTGGCCAATGGCCAGAAACTTCCAAGACCGGGGCACAAACACAGGCACTGGGCCTGGCACAAGAATTACTACCAGCTTACCTATGCCCAAGTCGCTGACGATACTCCAGACAATTTATGCCACTGGGCTCAGGCATGCTGGGCAAGGATCCAGGGGCCACTGCATTTCAGCAGCTAATCCCTGCAAGGATAGTCAACAGTCCGCCAGTGTTTGGCTACTGAGGCATGATTGGCAGTGGCGATGGCGATCGAGAACTCACTAGACGTCTCCGCGACACTCATCAGCCTTTCGGTTTCCCATGATCCTCAAGGCTACTGCAGGCTGTAGCTGTAGCCTGGTGCCTAAGCTCGAAGGGATCGTCACTGCATGTCTGTATGTGTACACGGGCCGAGCTGGCCCAATTGAAAAAATGACGAAGACCTTGGAGCGCAGCCGAGGGTTCTAACAACAGGCAACAACAGGGATCCCTGCTCAGAATGCTACTAGTAGTTTGAGGTACATTGGCGCAGCATGTCTGTAAAAAGTCACATATTGAAGGCAGAATCACTGTGGCGGCCGCTTCTCCTGTCAAATGAATGTTTGATAAATTGCATGACACTGTGTGCAGCAACTGCTGGGATGTTGTGGAGCATCTCTCGAGACCGCTTCACCAAGAGCACGAGCCTGAGCTGAGCGTGCTGAGCGTGCTGAGATCCCGGAATTCACTTTGGACACGGAGGACTCTGCCTGCGCAGCGTAATTGAGAAACATAATGATGATGACAACCGATCTCGAACTTCTGTGAGTCCGCAGAAAGCACTTCCCTTCTTACGCGACTCCGACTTTCTCTCTCCCCTCGTGGGAATTCGGAAGTTGCCGAAACCCTCTTAAGTGTCGGACCCGAACACGTTGCTCATCGATCCGGGTATCCTCGGAGTTTTCCCACACGATGTGGAACCTCAGAACGTCAACAAGATTTCGAGAGTTAAGAATCATGAGTACAACGTCGGGGTGTGAGAACGTTTGATCTGGAAGGCTTCAACAGTTCCAACCTCTTGCAGAACAAAGCTCAGAGGGATAATTTCAGTTCTCTTTCTGCGGGCCACGGCCTTCCACCGTACCTCTACGGATAGCGATGGGATTCTGATCCTTCTCCGCGGGACTTAAATTTCTGACATGAGACTTCGCTGAACATTCCCTGCAGATCTCAGGAAACCACTGCTCCTTCAAGACAGCTGCGTGGAAGCCCCTTCGGCTCTCCAAGTCCTACGAAATCGCAGAGTTTCGCGTCGACGGCACAGAAGTTGATGGTGCAGAACGTCCGGGAAGTAGGAGACAGACACGACTTCACCCAAGCTGAACTACAAGGCGCAGCCGATGCGCCCCTCCGCAACATCCATAGCCCCGCCAAAGACTGCAGCCCTGGTTCACTAAACAAAGCTGTGCTTCAACGGGCCCACGCCTGCAAGGAAACCTCGTCGCTTTGGCTGAGGCGCAAAGCAGCAAGGCCTGAAGACACAAACTTAGAGGCCAGCACAACTTTTCGCGTTTCTTCATCCTCTGCCACACACTGACGGTGTCCACGGTCTCTGACTCTATCATCCTACCACCTCTGTCCGAGATGTAGTTGGTAACAAGATTCAGTGCTGTTTGCATAGCAGGTTTTGGTCTAGCAGACAGCATAGAAGCGTAGAAGTGCTGGAGATGGGTCTGGTTTGGTTGCTTCGGTCTAGTCCTGTAGCTACCCGAACACTCGCAGACGCACCAATCGGATCCAGACACGTGCAGCAAACCGTTTGTACGAGTGCGAAATCAATAGTAGACTACGTCTATAATGTGGTGTTGCACTGGCAGCAAGCAATATGATCCGACACCTCAGCAAAAAGTGCCAATGGTCAATGCTCGTACGGGTAACGACTTTTCGAATGCAGGTCTTGCTGGTGCCGCAACTTCTCGTTGTCATGTCATGTCTTGGTTACTACTGGTGACTACCGGCAATCACAGGTGTATGTTCTTGCTGTCTCAACACACGCACATACATACACGCATATATACATACGTACATCCATCCATCCAAGCATGCAGGAATGCATCCATCCATACATACATACATGCATACATGCATACACATTAATGCATACCTGCATGCATACATACCATCACCATCACCATTCCTCCTCTTCTCCGCATATAAAGCCTTGAAGCTCGCGCAGGGCCTTCGATACCAATCTGTCGCATCTCCCGCATCCAGCCTCGGCAAGAAACGTCCTTAGGCTCCCTGGATTCCTGGAGTGGTGATGGTATGGTGAATTCAGGCTCAGGATCGTGGTGGCTCTGAGCTTGAAGTTCGCGGCTTCAGCATGGCCCGAAGTCAAGTGGTTAAGCAAGCTGCGTAGGAAGACCACGAAGCTCACATCATCCGCTCCAGTCGCAGCCTGCTCCTTACAAGCCGTTCCGACCGCAAGGCCTTACTTTGGATCTGCCTTATCTCGGATTTGACACTGACGACTGCTATGTGGAAGCACGGAACGGAGCTGTGCATCGAACTGGGCTCTTTGCTAGTAGAGGCTTCCATTCTACAGTTGGTGCCTTTAGGAAGTTTAGGCTGAGCAGGAAAACAGACACTATCAAAGCCTTCGGCGTGTAATCGCGTTGTACTACGTCCTGTCTCGCCTCCGGCTGACGGCCTACCCGAGCCTGGCCTTGTGGTGGCTGTATTTGGCTGGTCGGAGAAGCGTGCCTCAACCGAATGAAGCTGTGCCCCGCTGCACACCAAGCATAACATCCATAGGCTCACCTACCACGGAAGCATAATTTGTAAATTCTCGTGGCAGGGATCTCAAAAGTGGAGAACAGTGCACGTTTGAGCTTCTATGGCCCGTACGAAGCCGGTCGACGTCTGCGGCATCCAAAGCAGGAACTCCACATCTCTGGAAGAGCTCCTCTTGACAGCAGCGGAGACCGGCTTGACTTGCATTCACGTGTGGAGTTTGTCCCCCTTGGTGCGGGCCACATGCTTGTAAACAAGCATGCAGCCACTACATCCGCCCCCTTTGACAAGAACACTTGAGCCGTACTGGTACGTAAAGAGTCTCGACCACCGAACTCAGACTGTGGTTCCACCGTGCATGCCGCTCACAGGACCAGTTGCACAGGGCAACAAACTTGCAGAGTGAGAGCGAAAGCGCGAGTGCCTACAATGTCTGCAGTACTAACATGTCACAGCACATCACCATTGCTCAAACGCTTGCAACGAAGCACTTGCCCTGAAGAGGCTTACCCCTCCCGACTCCCAAGCTTATGGTTCCATCTTTCACTGACAAGCGGTAGTCCTGCATTGCGTCCAGATTGCCCTGACATTGTGGCAGTGATTCCACAATTCCACAGGCTGTCTGACGCCCCCACATATCACAACCCGTCCGTGCTTCGGAAAATGCCTTGCCACCATTGCTCGTCATGGATGCTTTCAGGCTGCTGAAGCTGCTGTGAAGCTCGCGCATGTCCTCCAGGAATGCAGAATCGAGTGGCGGCATGTAGGCTTTGGACTTGAAGGTGCCACAATTAATGATTAGTGGATCGTCTCAGACTGCATAGTTTATTCTGCACTGACTGGCTTACCCACCACCGATCGTTCCCTCTCTACGCTTAGGCCTTTGACGGCCTAAGATGCTTTTACCTTCGCGGCTTTGCGCCTGCTGATTAAGGCTCATCACCTGGAGGCTGACGATGGGGGAGACCATCGCAAAAGCCACCACCACAAACACTGCGCCGACAACCACCAGGGTGACGACGACAACAGCAGCATCAGGAGCAGGCGAAGGAAGAGAAGGAGGCGGAGAGACAAGTATGGAATAGTATGGAGTAATCCTATTACAGCATGGTCATTCCTATTGCAACTTAATAGTAGCTGTCGCTAAGGGACTCAATTGTAGGCGATGCTCTTACTGCATCTCTAGTGTTCTAGATAGAACTACAAGCCAAATATCACTAGTCACATATATTGATTCCTGCACTGGATGCTGTACGGCTCCTCCAACTCCAGAAGACCGTAGTTTCCGATCTTGACAGCCTTCATCGCCGCACGGAAATCTTCACTACAGCGTCTCTCGCAGTTCCCGTGTTGCACCGGAGGTTCTGCTGCATCGTGCATGCCAGCCAGTCTTAAGAGCTAGCTTGCTTGCTACAACAGGTCCCATCTTCAAGCAAGCTTCCAAGACATGCCGAGTGCCGAAAAAAACTTAACCCTGCCTTGGTCTCGGCGCGGAACTCGTCGATGCGCATCTCCTTCTCCAGCTCACGCAGAGCCCGGCTGGCAATACCTATGGACTGCACCACATCGTGCAGCAGGTGACGCGTAGCAAGGCCGTCGACAACGGCCACTAAAGATTTGCTGATCAGATCCAGGCGTGCTAAGCGATCACAGAAGGCCCATTCCGGCGCACGGAGGAAGTCTCGGAAGCTCAGCTGCGCTCCGGCGCCCACCCTTCAAAGCAGTGCGTCGCTGAGGCTTCAGCGGGGCGGCTGTTTATACGATGCAGATCGATGCTCTGGGAATAAAGCATTACACACTTATGATTTATCATAATGTTCATTTCATATCTCACGTCCCTCCCGACCAGGACTCGCGCCGCGAAGTCTCCACAGACAAAGAGGCCCGGCTGGCCTCCGTTGCGCCCGTCTAGTGAGTCGATGGCTTGCACGCTGTGGAGCCCGTTGGCTTAAATGGTTGCATAGCAAAGATCTTGCAGGACTCGAGAAAATCAAGATGTTGCTGTTCTGGTTGGAATTCAGCTCTTTTTGTGCACTCTGGCGCGCAGGCTCGCAGCCTCAGGACGCGTCGGCCTAGGAGGCATTAGCAGCTCCGGAGAGCAAGTGCTTCGGCAAGCGTGCTGCTCGCTTCCGCGAAGATGTCACCGAGGGCAATGAGTGTACCGAAGGTGGCTGAGGCGTGCCTGGAGAGCTGGGCGTGCCAGCAGCCGAAGGACCATCGCCATCGGCATCACGAGTTTCACCATTATCACGATTGACGAGATTCACGATGTTCACGGGCGTCTGTGGGGTCCCCGGAGTTCGTTGCCCCTCTGATTCACCCGATGCTAACCACATCCTTAGAGCGCTGCGGGGGAATCGACTGAAGGCATCTCCAGACTCCTGCGCCATCCTGCGTCCATGTCTAAGTACTGCCGAGCCTCGGATCCCAGGCCTGCTCTTCAGTGGGTAAGTTGTCGCTGACATCGGCGATCCTCAAAGGCGCTTCAAGGCGGCTTTGGCTTTGTTCACAAGGCTTTGCCTCGACTACCAGTTTACCTCGGCCGAGCAGCTGCCCTGGCAGCAAATCTCCGTTGGAAGCTCCGTTTCTGGCAGGTGCCGGCATTGGCTCGGACCAAGGCGTTTTCGGCTGCGAGCCTGTGTCGGGACTCGCAACAGGTACGAGTATGAGATTTCCGGAAGGACTGGTCCCGCCTGGCCATCGGACATATTTTTCCGCGGTGAAGGTGTCGTGGTTTACGTGTTCCAACGGAACTTCCACGAGCTTCGTCCTAAGGTTGTAGGACACACTTACGAAGCCTTATCTCTCGTCATGGAATGAAGTTTTTTCCTGCACTTTAGAGGAGTGTGATGAAAGGAGCTGGAAGGAGCTGGTATCTGCAGGGGCCCCCCTTCTTCGCTCTTCGCGGGGGCTTTCGCTGCTTTCCCGGAGCCGAGGCACTGAGCCAGCAAGGAAATCCTCGCTTTCTCCCCAAGCAGGTCGCGGATCTCTCCTCGATAGCCTCCATACAGAGAACCGAGGGGAGCTGGTCTGTGGATGGGTGTGGCTGGGTGTGGGTGGGTGTGGGTGGGTCAGTCTCACGGCCAGCCTTTGTACTTCCCACCAGTGATCCGGACAGCAGTCCCCTTGTTCAGGAAGGTACCCTTTGTTCGGCTCGCCGGCTGTGCCAGGCCAAGCTGTTTGTGCCACTGTGGCCTCAGCAGCACAAGACCCGGGACGCCTCCTGATTCGCTCCCATTTACGATTACGGAGTTTCGGTGCATCTTGTGCAAGCATCCAGCCTCAAAAACGACATTTCTGAAGCCATCGTGATCCCATATGTCATCTGCTTCGGCTGGACGTCTGAACCAGACATCTCAGGCAATCTCATAATTTGCTGCGGCCGTCTAGAAGGCAGATCATCTGCGTTCCAAACGAATTCACACTTGTCGCCGGGCGCGACAAGGTAGGCTTTCTCGCCCACGAGGCCTGGAGATCCGATGCACTCGCGTGGCTAACCCTTTGTGAGCATGCGGTGAGACTGACTGCAGATGCATGCACATGCAAGGCCTTCCACCGCCTTCAAGAAAAGCGTGTTCTGGTGTATCCACCTGTGACTCGGCTGTGGATCTGGCTTCCATGCGAGTTAGCTTCAACCAAAACCACACAAGCTGGAAAGGATGCGGCAGACTGAAACGACCTACTAGCTGAGCGCAGTCGAGCGGCAGCACTTCGGCTTGAATAGGCGTGGCCCTACCGCTGAGTGTTCGAGGAGCCTGCCGAAACAGCGCTACTCGGTATGCCAGCTCGCCAATAATTAGTTGAATCCCTGCGCTGCCTTCACCATTGCGCCTGGGACGATTCTGTGCTTGATGCGGTCCTCTCTGGGTATGGTGATCTCGCTTGCAGTGTTTGTCAACTCTCTCACCACTGAGATCCACTGAGTAATCCTTAACCAGAGACGAGGACAGAATGCGCAGCATTGGGCAACCCATGTCCTCGCACCAAACCTGTTTCTTGTAAAGATGCCTCTTTGGCAGTTCTACTGGCTGCAGCTCTGCCAGATCTGCATAGCCTTGCACACCATCCTGGCCAAGAACCAAGGCGCGCGACCCAGCCTCCAGGCGCGTGATGATGGCCCGGCCCTCGGACCGCCCTGCCACCATAACCAGCTGGCCAACGTGGAACTCGCCAATTTGGTCCGTTGTCTCGGGCTTCTCGATGCCTACGAAACAGCTCTCAGAGGCCACAACGAGCCACAGCTAACATCCACTCATTCACCATCCACACTATCCACTACCATCCCCGCAGAACTGCTGCGCTCGCGCAGCGGAAGATCAGCCTGGCAGCCCGGCCTTTGCGCAGATCATTGATACTCGCCCTGAAGGAGGAGAAGTCGCTGGTGAGAACTTGCACGACGGTATGTGGGCCCCATTCGCGGTTGGGGCCCAAGTCAACTCGCTCCACGTGGCCAGCCTTAGCTTGACCAAAAGACTACATTCGGTCAGCTAGCCCACTGGTCTCAACAAACTAACTTCTGAAATGGCATGCTTGATTGCCGATGGCTCACTCAGTCTTGTCATGAATGTTAGGACGTTTGCCAGAGATGCAACAGATCCGGCATCAAACATGTTGAGGCACTCGTAAGTTTAAGAGTTTAAGGTCTCCATGAAGGCCCAGGGTTCGTGCCAGGTCAAGTCCCGACCAAAAGCCAGTTCCGCGGCATCACACTGCTGAGGGGTGAGGGTCGAGCAAGGATTGTAGACACTATCAGAGACAAGCTCAGCCGTTACCAGTCAGATCAAGAGAACATGAAAATTCATGAAACAATCGTATTCTTGGATGCAGGACCAGGGCACGTCTCCTTTGTGTTCTCCCGCGATCACATTGACATAATCTCCCACTTCAAGATATTTGCACAATCTCACTGTGGAGATGGACATGTCTTGGTCTAACTTTAGGTTGATCGCCCTGATGAGCACCGTGGTCGAACCTGACACAGCATTTGTGACAAGGCCGATGAGGTTCTTCACATCACCCGAGATTACGATGACCTTGTCGCCTTCCCTCAGAGACGGCCCAGACGGAGCCAACACCTTGGCGGGCAAGGGGGGCGGAGGCATCGCTTCCCTCTCCAGTTTTTCGTCCTTGGGCAGATCCAGTTCCGGTCGGACGTTTGCAGAGATGGCTGGAGCATTGCGCCAGTCCTGGACCTCATGTTCCGATGGCCGAACCTGATCACCGGAGTCAAACCATCCTCTTCTGAAGCTCTTGAACAAGAAGCCATCTCGGTAGGCTTCCCCATTGACAGTGTAGAACTGTCTGTACCCCTTCTGGGTCCGCCGTGGCTCCGTGTTTACTATGACTTCTTGCCTGGCTTCCAGATCTGCTCGATTGAACCAGGCCGGGGGTGCTCTTTTGCCTGATTTCCCACCAGACCGACCTATTCGTGGCTTCAGCTTCACCATGAAATTCTCATCCTCAATCTCCTCGATCATGGCCAGGTCGCCCATATACAGACCGCGCTTCATGCGCACCCAGTCTCCAGCGCGTAGCATCTGCGTTTTCTGTGCGTGGTTGTGCGCGGCTGAGAACACCAGAGCCATTTGGTCTGTGGGGACCAGCGAAAGCCCAGTGTATTGAGAAATGCCTCGAATTCCCTTTGTAAACGCCCGAACATCTGCTTCTTTGTGAGCTTCAAGGTAAATGAAGTTCTTCAGATGTGGCGAGCAGAAAATCGAAGAGATTGGAACAGGGGTTCCGTGCGACATTGCCTGCAGAGCAAGCTCGAAGATCCAGACACAGGCATGTCTTGCACGTCAGTACAAGCGACATGAAACCAAACCGATCTAAGGTCACAACACACGAGTTCTTAAGCACTGGTTTTCCCAGCTGGCTCCTCAAAGGACTTGTACATGAGCGAGAGGCAGAGATCTTTTTCTGATGCAAATACTTTCAAGCACCATAGCTTTGGATCGCCAGGCTCCGGTACGGGAACAGTCTGGCTAACCCTTTCCTGCAAAAACACAGCCGACCACATTCATTTTGATTAGCATACTTGCTGATCGAAGAAACAACGAAAACAAGTACGAAGGCAAAATCAGCTGCGCTGTTGCTCCTGCGAGGGGAACTCAGGCTTGATGTCTTCGCCACGCTTGGCTCTCTCTTCTAGCTCCTGGGCCGTCGAGATGCATGTGAATGGCATGACTACACTATGGGAGCGCCTGGTACTTCTGCTCGAGCTGATCCAGCTTCGCGGAGCTGAAGAGCCGAGCCGAGCCTGTCAAAGGACCACGCTCGCGTGCTGCCACCTTCCAGGCTGCGAACTGCATTTCCTCTCTCCCTCATGTGCATCATCCAAAGTCTGTAGAGCATGTCAGACTTAAGATCCCAGCATGAAAGGGAGAGGCTGCGCATGGCAGAACCCGAATCTGCTGCAAGTGCCTCTTTCTGGAGCTGCTCCAGCTCTTTGTCATCCCGATTTAATTTCCTTCGAAGGGCTGCGCGGCTCTTGCCAGCATCTTTAGCAGCCCCAGAGTCCTTGGAAATCATTCCAAAGGGGCTCCACGCATACAGGACAGCAGTTAATATAGCTATGTCGTGCCTTCTGGCAGTCCCAATTCCCAATTCCCAGTTCTTGTCTTCCCTTTTCTGGCGACTCTCGCGGCCAGGAGGCGTCGATGAGCTCATCAAGCTCGGAGCCCTCCAGCTCCTCCTCTCCCTGGCCTACCTCCTCTGCTTCCAACTCGAGGAAGTCCTCGACCTTTCGCTTGCGCCCGGCTTCCGCCATTGCTGCGCAGCATCAAACATGCACCCATGATACAGAATTGGCGAGCCGTTCCTTAGGGGCTGGGGGTGCGGGGCGGCCGGGGCGGCAAGGCCCACAGTGAAAAGCAACCGACTGCCGTGTAGATGAAGTTGCTCGGCTGTGATTGAAGCCTCTTTCAACGCTATGGTGTAATCCGCATGTTCGCAGGTCTTGGATGGACTACATGCACAGGTGTTCCGGCTCATCATGTTCCGCTGCCTTTAGAAGCAAAAACTTGGAGGAGCAAACGCAGACGATACACAATGGCGATGAAGTCGGCTGCTTCGTAACTCGCAATGCAACTGTCTGCAGAAGAGGCCTTTCTGGCTAGAACTTCCTTGGTGATGCCGGCGAGCCACCTCTGCCTCGGCCAGCGCCAACTCCGGCAACCGTCTCTCACGAGCTGGAGAAGGCACTCCAAACATTGCCATGTAGCAATGATGGTTTCTCTCCTGACCTGTGGCCCTTCGAAAGCAAGTGAGCTCAGAAAAGAAATGTCCGAAGTCCAGGATTTGGCTGGCCGTAAATTCCTCCGTGTTCAGACCTCTATCAATACATCAACCAACAAATAAACGAATGTACATAATATGTATGTAGAGTAAATTTATATATATATATATATACACACATGCCTACACAGAGAGGCAATCGCGTACATCTGATCTTGCGTGTGCTTCACGTGCCTGTCAGGCGAGTCGACCTCGAGCTCCTCGAAGCCGAGGACATGGATGGCCTGCGCGATTCGGAGATTTTTCTGGAGCATCCGGCAATGATCTTAAGATGTTATGTGATATACATTGAGACAGCCTGGTCCAAAAACAATACTAACATAATGCATGACATAGTGAAACGACAGTGGAACGACCGATGGCTCAGTTCATACGACGCCCAGATTGTTGCCGTCTACCTCCGCAACCTCTGACCATGTATTGGCATAGTACTGGTGCCAAACCCTACCCGCCACATTGCCTAGTCACCCACTGGGCCCCGCTGTGGGCAGGTGTGTCCGAGGTTGGGTGAAGGGGGAACCCGTTGCTTTTGTGGGCATCCCTGTGGCAGCTTGCCCCCTCTGCCCCGTTTGGATGTTTTTCAACAGTTATGCGAAGCGACACTAGACCACCAGTTCCTGTGCCTGTTGCCATGTTGAGACGTCGCGATGACATCCAGATCCGGAAAATAAAAGTTATAGTATGTTGGAATCATCGCCGAGGCATCAAGATCCCACTAAAAAAGAAGCTGACTAGCTTGCGTAATTACAGCAGCCGCCAAGTCCGGAAGAGGCCCACAACCAAAGGCCAACTACCAATTTTCATGGGAGTCAATGTCGCTTTGTGATCTGCATTCGGTGTGTTTGACAGCTAGAGCTGGTCCGTCCATCTTCTGACTTGGAACCGACAGTACCCACTCCAGAAGCCTGCACACCTCGACCGAGGCCTGAAAAAGGTTCACCACCGGCATGGTGCTGGAGGCCTTCGATGCAAACCTCCTTTGTCAAATACGCAACTGCTGCAAAGACAGCAACAGATCGGATTGCGGTGCAATGCAGTGCGCCAAGCTGAGCTCCTGAAGCTCTCCTTGACCAGATTCAGATCCCAATCTGACCACAACACCTTACTTTACACAGCATGCGTCCAACATGTCGGCTCCCGCGCATGCTTCGGAAATGCCAACGAGCACGGTTCATCGTCACTGCGAGTCCAACCATCATCACATGCTTTTGAAAGGAACATGTTCTTGCAGCCCTAGTGAGGCAGTGGCATCAGGCTCCTCCATCTCTGCCAATTGCAGTGCCTCCCGCATCAGCTCCTGGATCTTGGAAAGCTAGGTTCGACTCAGAGAGAGCATGGGAGAGCAGCCATGCGCACCCCTGATAAACCCTGTCTCCAGCAGCTCGCTAAGCCGCTTGAAGTACAGCTCTTCCTGGCTTTGGTCCTGCAAGCGAAACATGGCCAACCTCTGCCAAGAGAGCCCTCCTGGGTTGGGAGTGAGAACGAGTAGCCATTACACCATACATAAGGAGGCTGGAGGCGCAGATGCACGCACACAGACACAAATGCACGCATGCATGCATGAATACATGTATGTGTATATTTGAATCATGCTCCCTCTGTATTTTTTATTTAGACACGCACATACACACGCACGCATCACTTCATGAACAGAAAAGCAGAGACACGGAGACACTAACAAAAGCACACACACACATATGCGCATGCGTGTGGCTGCGATTGTTTATGTCGCCAGGGTGCAGAGCCCGCACTCGTTGTTCTTTGCCTCTGTGTAGAAGTGCACGTGTGTTGGCGTGTGGGGCTTATTCAAACATCAAATGTCCCTATGTGAGCATTCGTTCTGCTTGAAAGTGATCCGCCAGGTTGTCTCCGTTACACTTACGTGTATGATTCGTCTCTTGTATCTTGGTCAGTCTTGGTGTGAAAACACACATCGCTTTCGGATCCGGCTTTCGGAAAGCCTGCAGCACCTCCTGCAAGATCTTCGGAGGCCAGCCCAGCGTGTAACGAAGAACCTCGGAGGGCACGGCCGCACGTGATTGATCCATGCCATGGGCCATGACACAGTCCGAGGCCGGCTCCTGGCAGAGATTGCGAACGCCTCAGCAACGCAACAGCCTTCATGAGGGCTTTAAGAAAAATTCTATGCAAGACGACTCGTGCGACCCTATGCTTGCCGGGTGGCTGCTCTTGCGGTAGCCATCCTCCTCTTGCCAGGAGTCGAAGGCTGCAGCAAGCTGATCCAACACCTGCGCTGCAAACCGGGTGAAAGCCAGGGACGGTAGGCCTTCGGACTGAACACCCTCGCCTCCAGAGGAAACTCAGCACGCCAGGTCTGCAGCCAGAGAGAATGTGAAATTGGCATGAAAGAAAAGCTCGTGTGGGCCACATAAACTTGCTCTACGGAAACTCACAGCTGGCGCTTTGCCCGACGCTTTGCGCAGAGCTTCGGGCCTCACACTTCCGGCGGGTTGAAGCCGCAAACTCCTCGTGCAGCGCAGCAGGAAGGACCTGAAAGGCTGGCCAGAACCTCTGGCCAGAACCTCCGTCCCTTCACTTTAGTCTAGGCCCAGCAAGGGGATGCCAAACGTCAACTTAGATACCAACAGCCGGCTAGCGACGGCCGCTCAAGTGCTTAATGGGATCCGGCCCACAAGTCGCACACGGACATGAGCGGAAATCTGAAAGCACCTGTGCTCCAGGCGTCGGGAGTTGCAGCCCGCCGCAAGCCCTGGCGACACATTTCTGCTTACTCATCTACGGAAAGATTGACCCTGACAGGCACCCGACGACCTTCAGCATTCATGTCTGTATGTTGCTTGAGCGTCTGGTTCGCACTCGCTACCAGGCGCAGCAAGTCATCCTGTGGCACAAGTTCGTGGCCTCCTGGTCGCTTCCTGAGATATTCCTGCCCGGGGCTTTCAAACCCAGAGACTAGAAGGGTTCGGCGCTTCTACACTCCAGCAGCTTTTTCGGACAGATCGACCAGAGACGATGACACAGTATTCCAGAGCCTTGTACTTGTACAACAAAGCCTCCTTAGCCCTTCCAGTCCCTTCCACATCTGAGCCCAGGCCATGCAATCCGTTTTCTCCAGGCCTGGTGAGAAGAGATATCATCAAATCATCAGCCTCAACTTCGACGCATCTGGAAACCCTCCGCAGATCTCTATCGACACTCCACCAAGTAAGCACTCACCCGTGATCCCCCTTCCCCAGAACCCAAATCCTTCGAAGCGGGGATGAAGAGAACTATGTCCGGCTAAGATCTGCGCAGCCATCGTGTTGACTTTCCTGGAAGGCAAGCAGAGGTATCATGCGACAAACCTATGCCTCCTCAAGTCACAATCCAACGTCTAGCCGCAGGCAACATCTCCTCTAGCTCTTTAAATGGGCTCTATGCCATGCTCTACATGCCATGATCGCAAAAACCGGGGGGTTGGCTGTAGCAAGCTATGTTCAACCAGGTTAGCAAGCTATGTTCAACCAGGCATTTGACATGCCTGGAAATTATCCCATGCTCCAAAGGCTGCCTAAGCCGCTGTCACTGGGACCCCAGCGACACGTGCACCTCCGCCTGGCGTGCATCTTCGCTGCCTGTGTGGCCACGGAGTTCTTAGGCCAGGCTCGCCGGAAAATTGCTCTTTATTGCCAGGCTTCATGTGTGCGGATTAATGGACAAGTGCAACCCCAAACAGCCAGCAAACTGTCCTGCATCAAAGAGCTCCTCCAGGCTGATGTCACCTGCGGCATCTCTAAGCATGTTGGGAGGCGCAACCAGTGCAATGAGGCATGTGGTCGAGCGCTTATGCAAGTCTTCACTTGGTGCGATGCGGTGCTCTTGTCGTGACATCATCCGTCAGTGACGAGACAAGACGTCTGACAGTCTGGGAACAAATCGAGGGCACCGCCCTACACAATCGTGCAGCTTGATGCAAGGGACCCAACGTTATGCAAAATGTTGAAACCCGCCTCCCTCAGCATCCTTGGCTGTGACACCGACGACCTCGTTTGGGCTATGCTCGGGATGCAGCGAAGCGTGCTTCAAAAATTACTCGAACTAGCTGTCCCGAGTTCGCAGCAAGAGCTTTTGTTACTTTAGTTTGCCTGTCCAAATTAGAACTGCTGGTTGTGGTGCATTGGCTTGCCTTTGCGAAAATCGAGTTGCCCGTGCCATCGCGGTATATCGCCGACTCAGCATATCTGAATTTGTGAACTGCGACAGCCTGCTTGGCCTGCTTGGCTTCGTTGTCTATTTTTTGCGGCAGCCAGCTTTGGACTTCGGACGTGGACGTTGGCTGTCTGCGTCTAGACAGAAGCTGCCGGAGTCTCTCAACTGGAGCGCATCACAGACCCAGTTTTCCCTAAGCCACAGAGCTCAGAAGCTGCAGCAGCTGGGCCGGCTGCGGGCTGAGTCAGCAGACCTTGTCGCTGTACAGAGTTGCGCCTCTGGGGGGAAAGAGCCAAGCTTTCG